CTCATCTTTGAATGTACTTTTCATCGGTTGATCACTTTTCTCAACTGTTTTGCTTAGTATAACATTTACAAAGATAGCTTTTATTGTGGTTCAATGGGAAAACGAGAATAGCGTGAGTGTTGTAAAAGAGAAGAAAGTCGTTGGCGCCGTGGAGTTAAAAGAAGGGACAACAGTTGACATATGGACTGGTACAAACAAGGGTCGAGTGGCCATCTGTAAAGCTACGATTTTGAAAGTTTGTGGTGAGTAAAAATTGCGATATTCGTTACGTGATCAAAATCTTATAAAAGAATAGATGTAGCGGGTTGAATTAAGCTTACATAACGCTCGGTGCAACTGAAACTAGAATAATTCTGAGAATCGAATCGGTCAATTGCATGCTGCAGTTTCTTAAGCTTATGCTTTACAATGAAATAAACCTAGCAGTAAGGTTTCAAGATTCCTCTAGTCACGTTTGGGAACATTCAAGATTCATAACAAACCTTAGTACATAAAGAAGCCCTCCTTGGTAAAAACAAAATAATGTATTCAGCCCTTTTTTAGTAAAATCCATGAGAGAGATGTACTAACTCCAATATAAAAGTCACTCAATATAACAGAGATTTCTCAATTTGAGAATCCAATGAATGCCCTTTTCCTCGTAGCCATCTTAAAAGCCTGGTCTGAGCTTTAAACATACATATTTTAATATATTTATTTTTTTTCAAATTCAGATGTCAAGGAATCCAGATACAAAATGGTCAAGGTTCTTGTTGACAACCTCATTCAAGGCCAACTCATTGTGAGCCCAGGAAAAAAAAAACCAACAGTACAAACAGCAGCTAAGTTTGCAGTTTAGGATAACTTCATTCTAATTTATTGTTACAGTTACAACAAGATTTTAATCAAAAAATCAATTTTATTTGTCTGTAATTAGCCCCTTCACTCCTAAGAATATAACTATATAAATATAACTTAAGATATTGTATTTTATGGAAAAGAATCAACAGATTTTATTCACAACTTGTGTCAAACCAAATTTAATGATTGATTAGAACTATTTTATATGAATAGCTGTAATTGAGGATTAATCCGTATGAAGTTTTCAAGAAAAGAAAAATACATCAAATTCCATCTTAATATTACCACACATGGATGTTAATAATTAATCAAACATATTTTACATGTAAGCCTTAATTAAGCTTCTAAATAAATTTCACTGAATACTTGAATTTTAGCTGGGTTTTTTTAATTTAAAGTATTTATTTTATATCATTAGCCTCAAATTTTTCCTTAAAATTCCCAGTAATTCTTAAACATTCCTGAAATACATTCCCAGAAATTTCCAGAAATTCCTAGGAATTTTTTAGATTTACAACTTTTCAGGGAAAGTCATTGGTTCTCTGAGTTGGAATTCCTAGGAATTCCAAGTCCTGTTGGCTATAAACTTGGAATTTCTGGCAATTTCTGGCAATTTCTGGCAATTTCTGGCAATTTCTGGCAATTTCTAGGAATTTCTAGGTTTTAGAACCAGAGTTGTTGTGGTTGGGAATTCCTAGGGTTGACTGGATACCGTTACCAACCATGGATATTTCATCTATAAATATAAGTTTAACTCCACCAAGCTGGCATCTTAAAGTATTTAGTCTACCCGAGTCAAGAAGGTTGTAGTTCTTTAATGACTGGCATGTAGGCATTCCTAGTGCACTGTGTATTGCCAGTATTAATACTTTAATTTCAGCAAAGTGAACACCAGCTCTAGTGTTATAGTATTTCAGTGCTGCCTGATACAAGGCTTAAGTTAGGTGTGATTTACCAACTCCTGCACCTCCACTAAGGAAACAGTAAAATGGTTCATCAGATGTCTTTATTAGATGCAAAACATGATAGAAGAATTCTTTTTGTTCTTTATTTAACATGTGTACCATATGTCTGTACTCATCATCTTGTAATTCATTTAGTATTAATGGCTCAGTGTTTGAATCAGCTGATGGTATTCCTATATCATCAGATAGATTATAGTTCTCATTAAAGTCAGGATGTAAGCCCTGATTACCTTCAGCCAGGTCTTGTTGCTCAATGTTTTTAGTTGAAGGTGCTATAGAATCATAGCTTTCTTCTAATATATTCATATCTTGTCGTATTTCATCAGTCTTCATTACACACAGCATATTCTTTCAATCGTTCATTAATTGCATTAGACAGTGCCATATAATGATCTTTATATGAAGAAAATATACCGAGTAAGTCAGTTTCTTCATTTTGCCATGGTGTAAAGAGCATTATTAGCTCACCTTCCTTGTTGCACCAAATACTTCTTATTACTCTAGCTTAAGTTCTTTTTTTTTTTTGCTACAAGTCTTTTTGCTAACTTCATCATCATCATCGTCATTACAATCATCATAAAAGTCTCTAATGGGAGCCCATCAGTATCTAATTCATTTGTTGGTCTCACCTGTTTTTCTAGTACAATCATACCATGCAGCCCAGTTTGCAAGTGTTAGATGTTCTAGCTTTGCTGGACGCTTACAATATCTTTTTAACCAACCACCTGTACAGATCTCTTCACAATCATCATCCATTTCTTTTATATCATCAAATGGTTTTAAAAGCTCCTCCCTCTCTTCAGGAGGTGAAGTATTTATGAATATTATCTGCCTAGATGCCTTTCTCATGGGTAGTTGTAACACAATTTAAACTGCTTCTTGTGCACTGATTTCAACATTGTTGACATATTTACTCGAGATATCTTTGACTTGTTGTTTTGTGCTAGAATTTCCTTTCCTTGCTTCAGTACAAGCTTCTCGTAGTAGTTCATTCTTTCCTTTTTGGGCCTTTGAGGTGTAATTCACTATGTACACAGCACATGCACAAACATCTAGTAAAAACTGGATGTCCATGTTAGCTCTCCATCCACTAAGGCAAGCAGCATTGTAATTGTTTATCCTCAATTCAATAGGATTTCTTTCCAAAAATACAGTAGCAGCATTCAGTGATGAACTTACAGCAAGTAAATAGTTTTCTTCTGTGACATTGAGATCAAGCAGTAACTGATCAAAGGTAATATCTTCACCTTCTTTCATACCATCTAGATGCTTTTTGATCGACTTCCAAGTATCTTTGTGTATTTTTACTTTGCTTTGAGGCACCTCTGTGTCTAGCGGATAAAGTATCTTTATTTGCCTCATGGGAGGCTGTGGATAATTAAATCTGCATTCAGTTTTTGTATTTTTATGACAGGTATGGGAAGGTCTGTGTACTTGTCTGTTGACCAGACTAAGTAGTTCGTGATTGTCTGTGGGTTTTTGACAGGTTATTATGTTATCAATGAATCCAGTTACTTCTGCACCACTCTTAACTTGAAATTCTGGTGCATCATCAAGCCATATCAACATGTGAATGTGAGGTGAGCCTCTTTGTTGGTATTCAACTCTATAAAACCAGTCTGATATTGTTCCTAGTGGTTCAGCAGAACTCAACAGAGAGTTCGTCAGAAATTGATTGACCTGATAATAAAAATGCTTGGCACAAGTTACAGGATTCTGCATTTTTCTCCCCAGTTCAGATTCTCTAGTTCATCATCAGTATATTGCTTGTGATCAACAAGTTTTTCACTATAAAAAATTGCGATAAAACA